CACTCTTTCTGACGGGATAAAGAAATCTTTATCTACCCCAGGAATCCAGCTGCCAGGCCTGAGGCATTGCTTGAAAGTTGAAACACACTTGTACTTAAGGGTGCCTTAAGCAATATTCAACTCAACTTACTTCTTGGAGTAAGAATTTCAAACAATTTTATTCAGAAAAGTGACGTCTTCCCCCACCCCCATCTCAGTGCTGGGTATGAAACCCGGGTTTTGTTCATGCTACACAAGCACTCTACCAGTGAGCTGTGTCACCAGATGACAAGTGGGTTGTAACCTAACAGGGACGAGACAATGGCTTAGTGGGTACAGCATGAAGGCCTGCGTTAGGACCCCTAGCATCGAACATGAGAAAACAGGTGCGGCAGAATCCGTGGACTCCAGGCTCAGTGAAAGACCCTGTCTCAGTAAATAAGGTAGGGGACAATATAAGAAGGCACCCAGTGTATATAGTGTGTGTGTGTGTGTGTGTGTGTGTGTGTGTGTGTGTGTGTGCGCTAGTCACTGTAGTAAAAGCTTCATATCCTTGCTGCTAACATAATCGATGACCCCAACTCCATCCCCAGTCCTAGTGAAGCATCCCTGACCTACCAATGCCCCAGATCATGCCACTTAACCAAGCATCAGTCAACTTAAATGGATATCATCAAAAAATGGTACCAGTTCAATGTGGTGATATTGTGTTCCCCAAAACATTCTGCACCCTTTACTAAGTTATCTGGGGTCAGAGACAGAACAGCCACTAGATACAAAGGCCAGAAAATGGTGGCACTCACACCTTTAATCCTAGCATTCCAGAGGCAGAAACCCATGTGTTCAAGGATACAGCCAAGCATGGTGACTCACACCTTTAATCCCGGAAAGCGAGCCTTTAATCCCAGGGAGTGACGGTAGAAAGGAAAGATATATAAGGCGTGAAGACCAAAAACTAGAAGCATTTGGCTGGTTAAGCATTTGGCTGGTTAAGTTTTTAGGTTTTGAGCAGCAGTTCAGCTGAGACCCATTCTGGATGAGGACTCAGAGGCCTCCAGTCTGAGGAAACAGGATCAGTTGAGGATCCGGTGAGTTGAGGTGGCTGTGGCTTGTTCTGTCTCTCTGATCTTCCAGTTCACCCCAATACCTGGCTCAGGTTTGATTTTATTAATAAGAACTTTTAAGATGCATGCTACAAGTTCAGTTTGGGGAAAATGATCAAAAAAAAAATCACACCTAGTTTATAGCAGTCTCCCTTTAAGTAAAATGGAGTTATTTTGTCTTTCTCCCAAATCCACTCAAATACTTAATAATCATTTACCTATTATTAAGTCCGTGGTCTCTGCTCTACAAGGTGAAATAATTATAAAGGCAGCACCAAGCTGCCTCACACCACACACATGAGGTCTTCAGGAAGCAAGTGAGGCTCATGGTGTAAGGTTTGGATTTCTGTGCGACCCTGAAGTCTAACCGAAGGCCAAGGAAGAAAGGACTGGCAGAGACTCGGGACCTTCTGCCAGCATTTATTAGACATCTATGTGCCAGGCTTTGTGAGTGAAGGAGAAAGCAGACAGAGGTGGGCTTCTCTGTGTCCTGGAGGGATGCCCCACCAAGAACACACCCCTGAGCTCAGTGTTGAAGGACAGAACAGAGGAAAGGGTATTCTAAACAAGCAGACTGACTGTGTGCGACATGAGACATTCAAGGCATTGCCCAGTCGAGTGTGACCAATGCGCAGGCTGTCGGGAGAGACTGGGGAGACGGAGTGGCTGAAGTAATAGAGGCCACTTGGGGGAATCTGGAGCTGGTGAATATGGACTTGTCAGATTGACCTCATTCAGCCAAACATTAGCAGTGCCTCTGCTACAGCTCCATGCTTCCAGAATCGCAATGAGAAAGGAGATCCTGCACAAGCCCTTGAGAGACTCACAGGCTTGAAGGGATAGGACACAACCTCAAGTCTCTGGTGCCTTTATCTGCTCAGCAGTTAGGCTATCCATTTCAGTCTCCCCTGGACTGGTCAGAGGGATCTCCTAAAGGAGGTCAGTTAGGTGCATCCAACCATCATCCCACAGGACACATATGGACAAGGATATCCATAAATTCAGTCCAACACAAAATCTTAAACTTAACTTTTATTATTATTAATTATTATTATTATTATTTGGGTTTTTTTTTTTCAAGACAGGGTTTCACTGAATAACAGCCATGGCTGTCCTGGAACTAGCTCTGTAGACCAGACTGGCCTTGAACTCAGAGAGATCTGCCTGCTTCTACATTCTGAGTGCTGGGATTGAAGGCATGTGCCCCCACCACCGGTCCTTACGCTTCCTTAAAACATGAGTTTTGTATGTGTGTGATTTTCTTTTGTAACTCAATTGCATAGTTCTCAGCTATGAACTTGACAGATGACTATGTTGTGTGCCAGTATCCAAAGGTTGGATACCCCTGGTAGACAGCCCGTTAGAACACACCACTCTTTACAAACCCTCTTGGGTAGAAGATGACTATGAGGGTCTCTCTTTACCTCAAATTCCTGGCCTTTGACCTCCTCCCCTAGAGAGACACACACACGCATATATATAGATGCTCATGGGAAATGTAGCCAGAGGGTTGGAAGCCTTGCCAAAGTCAAACTGGGGGCTTCTAATGGCTGCCTAGCGTCTTGCGTGGAATAGGAACATGGGTGGTCCAAGCATGATTGTCACTGAGCTGAGTGGAGGCACACATACAAGAGTACCAGAGTCACAGCCATGGCCACAGCCATGCTCTCCACTGTTTCTTCCCCAGCAATTTTCACCTTTGCAGACACTGAGCTCCACCCCCACCCCACCTCCGCCACAGCCATGTTGCCCTGTCCTTGGCTCATTTGATCCAGATCTCCTGTTCCTCCGACCTTATACTAAGACCTCCCACCATGCTGGCACACATTAACAGGTCGATAAATGTTTCTGCGATAACAAATGGATGCTATACTCACTTCCTATTCACCACCTGTGCTCCGTGCCTCTATCTTCACTCTGCGTCTTTGAACCTAGTTATTAATAGGGCCTGGGAGTAGATTACACACACGCAGCTGCCTTGCCGGGTGGTGTGTCCCTGAGTCTCTGCAGAAAGCTGATTGGGAACACCCAGCCACACAGCTTATCTGAGCGCGACATGGGCCCTTTCCATCATCAGAGTAATGGTAGCATATGCAACTCACTCATTCGCTCATCAAACATTTATTGAGGCCATGCTATATGTCAGGCACGGAGCTGAGAATTAACACAGAAATGAAAAAGACACAGAGAGGGGATGTAGAAATGTGTATCAGGGAGGCATTGATGCTGCAGGACCACCTGGGAGACTCAGGTGGGTACGGCTTTGAGCACCACAGGACACAGCTGATGACGCGTTTCCTTTTCTTCTTTTTTGAGACAAGACCTTATATAGTCTGGGTTGCTTAAGGATGGCCTTAAACTTCTCATCCTCCTGCCTCTACCTCCCCAGTTTGGGGATTACAGATTTATGCCACCATGCCCAGTATTTATGTGGTGCCAGGGATTCCGCCCCACTGGGGCTTTGTGAACGGTATGCAAGCACTGAGCTACAGCCCCAGCCCACAATCAGAACGTTAATGAGAGAAGAGAATACACAGAAAGCCAACCACTAAAGACTTCTCTTTCGCAGTGCAGGGGTTCAAACCTAGGACATCACACATGCTATTCCTGTGCTCCTCCTCTGAGCTATCCTCCCCACACCCAAACACGTTTTCCTCTGCTTTTCGGTTCCGGAGGTTGGAGTCATAGTGGCTGACATCTATTATGCACCTACTGCATGTTATGTGCCTTGTTTTGGATTCTACAGGGCACAAAAGCGCATTGAAGTGGTTTACGAGGCTCGGGGGGCGAGGGGTAAGCATTTGCTCTTGTTTTCACATGTGGCTAGTTTCAGTGCCAGATAGGCCATGCTGAGACAGAAAAGTTCAAAAAATAATTAAACCAGTTAAAGAGCCAAAGAGCGCTGGGATTGAAGCCGGGTTTCAGAGCCAATTTCCAAGAAGTCATTTCATCATCAGAGAACATCAAACGTGCATTCCACTTTGGGCTATGCAAATTCCAGAAGAATAATACCTCACATTTGCATAATGCTTGATGTTTTTCAAAGTGCCTTCCCAGTTATTAATCTACAGCAGGCTTTATTACCACTAGAAACATACATTGAAACTCTCTCCCAACTCTATTATTTTTTCCGCTTTCCCCTTAAAGCCCGGAGAGACCTAAATCCAGGTGGTTGGGAATACATGGGCAGCTCTAGGAAGTGTAACTGGCAGGCTGCATAGACACAAACGTAGCTCACTGTGAGGTCTTTCCCTTACAGTCGGCACTGGGGCCGGATTAAGAAATCTGCTGTTGAATTAACAAACCGGCCGGGGAGAGGCTGTGTAGCTCAAATTCGAGATTCTTCCAGGATTCCCAGCTTCCTGGGCGCTGCATCTTGTACCTCATTTGCAACGTATTCCCTTCTATAATGTATTAGAACCTTAGGAAATTCATTCTGCCACTTGGTCCTTAAGCCTGCCGACATCCCTGCCACCAGCTTGCTACAGAGTTTGTTCGCCAACGAGGTTCCATGTCTTTAATGTGCTGTGAACCAAGAGGCTGAATCCGTTGTAAACCCAACATGAAGAAAGGATTTCAAAAAGCAAGGTGAGACGATATGACAGGGCTTGAGGAAACACTTTCAGCCATACCTAATGCCTTTCCAATTTTCTTCTTTTTCCATCTCTTTCAGACTTAATTATGTGTAGCGTTCCCAGTCACTGAATCACCAGCATTTCCTGACACTTGAATCTCATGCATTTTAGCAAAAGATTAACCTGGCTGTTTGCTTTTAATTCTGAAGCTGTGTTAACACCCAACCCCCTCTAGATTAGACAGGAAGAAAAACACATGCCCGCACACCCCACCCGGCACCACAGGCTCCAGGGCCGCCGACGTTCTAGCCATGTCACACTCCCGAGGGTTGGCGGCACTTACCATTTCAGGAGGGCCAGGAGAGCCACAAACAGGGTCAGAGTAACCATGGTGCCACTCGCTTCCAACTTGAGAAACCCCAAAACTTCCATTGTTCCCCTGAGACCCCAGAGGGGTGGTCGTCTGGAGGACAGAGAGCGTTGATCTCCTGCCCCGGTAGGAGTCCTGATCTGTATGCAGGTGGTGGAGGAAGAAATGATAACCAGCAGCAGGTCACATCAAGTGGGTCCCCAAATGTGCTCTTTCTCAGAATGTGCCTTTATAAAGAGGAAGGAAGCAGAGGGAGAAACAAAGGGTTTCGGGGCAAGGCAATGAATCAGCAACTTTATTTTCTTGATGACTGTGTTGTCAATAAACATTTATGTTAGCTTCCCCCAGAAACAGCAACAGACAGTCGGTACCAATGATCACTGAGAAGCAAAATGGTTGTAACCATTGGCTGCTCCTCTAATAAGCATTCCTCAGGGAAAGAACTCCTTTATGGTTTCCCTCTGTATACCTTTGTCAATCCATACTTCAGGGATGATACAGATCGGGGCATTCTGGATATCCCACAGAACCCAGGGACCAGACACCAGCTGGATGGAAAACACTATCTGCTTTGCAGACAACTGCCTCAAAGTTCACTAGTTATCAAGTAGAAACCCCTGACTCAAAGGTGTACTCAGAGTATTGGTACAGACCACAGATCCTGCCTTGGGTGGGTGCTGTCAGCATGAGTTGGTGGGTTTCTTGGTTGTCTAAAAGCTCATGCACAGTCATGCATGGGTTGATTGTTCTAGCTCTGACCTGATCTGATAAAAGCCGCTGGATGATTTTATTCGCTTATTAGTCAGTGTGTTTTATCTTGAGAATAGATAGAAGGCAGGGTGAGGAGAGAACCACTCATATAGCATATATAAACTCAGTGTCTACCATACTCACAAATGGTGCTGGCACCTAATCCTGGAGAATTCTCTTTGCAGATGGGTGAACGGTAAACATGTCTACAAATAAAGAGATAATTACTACTGGAGAGTAGTGTTGTGAAGGTCCTAAAAATGGAGCTGTGAGACAGCCTGTGGGATGACCCACTAGGAGGTATAGTGCCGAAAACTCTAGAGACGAAAGCTGTCAGCTGAGATGTGCCTGTGAAAGAGCATCAGTGGTATATAAAGAGGGCATGGATGGAGGCCCTATGGCGGGAAAATCTTCCTACAGTTTACTACAGCAAGACCCATGAGCCTAGAGTGCAGAAGACCCACTGGGGAGGTAGTGGAGGGAAAGAGCAGGTGTCCATAGAGGCCAGACATCCCCAGTGCCACAGTCAGAAGCCTCACTTTATTTCCTGTGCCATATGTGCATTCATCACAGGTCCTTCAAGCTACAACTGAGAGAGTCCTTGGAGAGAAAAGCAGAGCGATCGCTCTAGAGATCACGGCTTTCATCCAGAGATGAGGAAGCTTGGTGTAGACTAGGGAGCTAGAATGGAGCTGATGGATGGGAAAGAGATGTGGGGGTGAACACTGCAGAAAATCTAGGTGGACTGATGTGAAAGGGGAGTGGAAGACACCACCTCTAACTCCTTGCGTGAGCTCCAGGTGGGTATGGTGACATACAGAGATGGAGAAAGCCAAGGGAAGAGAAAAAGTATTGGGGGAATCAAGCTTTATTTTGGTCCTGTGAGGTGGAGATGCTTAGGGGCGTATGAGTAGACTGCTGAGTCAGAACGGAACCTTTGTAGGAGTCAGTCATGACCAGGCCATCTGTGGAGGTCCTGCTACATGTCAGTCACTAGTCCCCAAGCTATCATGTGTTCCAACTCATGCAACCCTCGTGCTCAGGTTTAGCAGGGCAAACCTGCGGATTGGTCCCATTTTATGGTAGAATAAGCTGAGGCACGTGTGTGACTTCAAAACCTCTTCCTTAGACGATGATATTCAAATGTGGAAGTCCTCCACACTATCCTGGCTGTGAATTACAGAAGGATCACTGTACTGTTGGAAATGAAAGATTGCAGTTCACAAGTCCTTTCCCAGCTCTCAGAATGCCTGCCTTCTTGTTGTGGATGCCTATTTTGTGACCCCAATCCAGTGGCTCATCTGGATTCAGATGTCCCAGCACCTTTAGATTCTCTTTCTCCCTGTGTGTCCCATTCCATCAATCTCTATACTGTGATGTCAATAGGCCTATGTGCCCCCCCCCCCCCCCCCCCCGCCTCGGAGCAGGCTTTTCCTCCACAAGGCCGGATGGTCTGCTATCAACGTAAGGAGCTACCTACCATTCAGAGCAACAGCAAGTGCTGTTGGAGCAGCAGCAAGTTCATGGCCATGGACTCAGAGGAGGAGGGATGACCTCAGCTGTGACTGAACTCAGTGCATTGTCAGACCAACACTCAGGGAAGATAACAAATTTATATATAATCCCCCCTAAGGAGTCCAAGGTGAAATAAGTGTGAGAAAGGTTGGTATAAATATCAATAAGTAAGTTTATTTACTGTAGGGCTGCTCAAAGCTGTGAGGCTGCTGATGTGCCCTGGGAAGGTCAAGAGTGGGATGTGGCGAGCATCATGGCCCAAGTGCATTTGACCACAGAATCCTCCTCCTTCAGAGGCATTTGTTAACATACCCCAGATGGAGTACGCTAGGGAACTTGCTTTGAGAAATGTTGATCATGGCAAAATCTTATTTATAAAGGAGGAAGCAGAAACTCAGAAAAGAAGACTGGCTAGAATCAGGCTCCATAGCTGTGTCATGACACACGCTAGGTCACCCATCCCATCCTGAATGTGTCCCTCACATCACCCCGTGGGTGTGGCATGCTCACACCTGGCATGCCCCTCCTCCCACTGCTCATTGCCAATGCTTTGGTATGCAAGTGGCCAGCCCAGAGATGTCCAGCTTTCTAAGGGGCTACCCACTCCCCTAGGGACACTGAGTTCATGTGATCATCCTTGTAACAGTTCTGGAAGTCTCCCTAGGTGATGTGTGCTCTGTCGAAATAGCAAGTGCTATGAAGAGATGATGTTCTGATTAGTTTCTGTCAGAGTGACACAGACCTAAACATACCTGGGCAGAAGGAATCTTAATTTAAAAACCGCCTCCGTAGGATTGGCCTATAGGCAAGTCTATGGGGTAGTGATGAATGTGGGAGGGCCCAGCCTGCTGTGGGCAGGGCTACCCATGGTTAGATGCCCCTGGGTTCTATAACAAAGCAGGCTGAGCCGGGCGGTGGTGGCGCACGCCTTTAATCCCAGCACTCAGGAGGCAGAGGCAGGTGGATCTCAGTGAGTTTGAGGCCAGCTTGGGCTACAGAGTGAGTTCCAGGATAGGCTCCAAAGCTACACAGAGAAACCCTGCCTCAAAAAAACAAATACAAAACAAAACAAAAAGGAAAAGAAAAGAAAAAAGAAAGAAACAGGCTGAGCAAGCCATGGAGAAGAAGAAGCCAGTAAGCAGCGCCCCTCCATGGCCTCTGCATCAGCTCCTGCCTCCAGGTTCTGGCCTGACTTCCCTGGATGATGGACTCCACACTGTAAGACAAAATAAACTCTTTCCTCCCCAAGTTGCTTTTGGTCATCATGCTTTATCACAGCAATAGAAAACTAAGATGGATGACCACACTCTTTCTATGTCCGCTACAAGGCAGTGATAATACTCCAAGGACTGAGGCAACCTATTAACCAGAATTGGGTGGAAAGGTCAAAAATAAGTGACCTAAAGGATTTTCAGTGGGAAAGTAACATAATTAAGGATTTATTGCAAGTCTGAAGTTCATGAAGCAATGCAGGGACACTCTGTTGACAAACTGAAGTACAGCCCCCAATGTATCACTACATTTTCCCACGTGGGGAAAAACCTGCTTGTGTCCATACCATTTTACCTGCTGTGAAGTATTTCTCACTTCCACATCCAAAGAAAGGTGTCAGCGACTGCTCATGACTCTACTCCACGGATGTGTTGGGAGTCAATTAGCCGGTCCTCCACTCAGGGCATCTACATTGTTTCCAGTTTTCTTGACTTCAAATGTACTCTCAGAAGGGAGATTGCTGGGTGCAAAAACAAGTGTTTCAAAAACACTGGGAAGCGTTACCCTATGTCCAAGCAGCATGGCTTCCTGTCCCCTAATCCCTGGAAATGTGTGTGAAGGGGTCCACTGAGACCACATAGTGGTTACCCCAAGGAGCCTTTCTCTTGTCTCCACCCTCTGAGTCTGTCTTCTTTCCCTCCTACCCCGAGGCAGACATTTCTCCAAAGTTGAGTCAACTGTTTTGACTTAAGTCTTGTGTTTCTTTTTAAAGCTTTCCCTCCATAAATTCTGTGATATTTCCTCCATACTCCCCGTGTTTAAACACTGCATGTGTGGATGTCTACGCGGTGTCTTCCTTCTCAGTGGAAGGGTCCCAGCTGCTCGGCGCTAAGCTTGACGTCTCCGACAGAAAAGCAAGGCAGAGGTGAAAAGAGGCGTCTTCAGAGAACGCTCATTGCCAGGCAAGCCTTGAGCAAAGGGTGTGATACCCCTTTAGGGCTGTGTAAGCACCTCTACACATCACCTCAGGGCAACCCCAGGAGGCGGTGAGCAATACTTTTCATCCTTGGGCTCCAAGCTGCGGAAACTGGGTGTCAATGATGTCAGACCTGACCCAATGTTGTCTGAAAATGAGGCTCTCAGTGCATTCTAGAGGCCAGGCTCAAGCCCCAGTCTTCTGACTCTAAGCCCATCAGAGAGTCTTTCTTTTCCCACTAAAACTAACGTCCCGTCGGGGCCTTGGAAAACTCACTGTGCAGTAAGTCCATGGTTGGACATTTGATTTTCTACGGTGCTGGCTTCTTTGAAGTGCAGAGTTATGCAGTTACAAGAAGTGGCCTGCCCCCCCCTCCTTGCAGAAGACAGTGGGGTCTCTGGGGAAGATGCAAAACCTCAGCTGTCCCAGTTCAGTTCCATCTCCTCATTGTCCCCCAATACTTAAGAGATGCCCTGTCCAGTTTTGGAGAACATACTGACAATTCCTAGGCACCAGGATTAGAATCTCAACGTACAGGAGCTAGGTCTTGCCAACAAGAAGCTCATCTCTGAGGATGAGCGAGGAGATCCTAATGCCTAAGTTCCATCAGCATTACAGCTTTGATGACAGAGCAGAGGGGATAAAAATCAGAGGGGAGGAGATTGGTGAAAGGTTTGAAACAGTTGAGACTGAACATCAAGGTCATCGTGGTGTACCCAGCAGAGGAGCACAGCCCACACTGAGTCAAAGGCATCGGA